AATTGTGGTGCTGGAGAAGACTTTTGAGAGTCTCTTGGACATCAAGAAGATCAAATCAATCAATACTTAAAGAAATTAATTCAGGCAACTCACTGGAAGGTCAAAGACCGAAGCTGAAGCTTAAATACTTTGGCCACATAATGAGAAGACAGGACTCATTGGGAAAGACCCTGACATTGGGAAAGATTAAAGGCAAAAGGAAAAGGGGATGGCAGAGAATGATATGGGTAGATCGTATCATGGAAACAATGAACATGAACTTGGACAGACTTTGAGAGATAGTGGAAGATAGAAGGGCTTGGTGGGCTATAGCCATCGGGTGGGTCATGAAGAGTTGGACACAACTGAACAACAACAAAAATAACCCTTATATCACTCTTGAACTCCAGTCATACCTTGAAAGGCAGCATGGTACAGCAGAAAGCTTACTAGATTTGAAGTCAGAGGACCTCGGTTGGAATATAATCTAGGCTTATGATCTTGTGACTTTGGGCTATTCACTTAACTTCCCTGGACCTCAGTTCCTTATCTGTAAGATACAGGGGTTAGACCAGATGTCCTCTAAGGTTTTTTCCAACTCTGAATCTATGATCCTATGATACTTGTCAACTGCTTCTCCTAGGTGGCTCATAGTCATCTTCACCTCAACAGGTGCCAAACAGAACTCATTATGTTCCCCTAACCTCAAACATGCCATTCTTTCAAACTTCCCTTTTTGTGTTGTGGTAATACACCATCCTGGCAATCACCAAGGATGATCTGGGAGTCATCCTTGATTCTTCTTTATTCTTCATCCCACATATCCAATTAGTTGACAGGTCTTCTTGATTCTATCCTCTACAGCATCTCACTTCTAACCCCTTTCCTCTCATTCCCACAGCCATTACTCTAAGTTCAGGTCCTTATCACCTTTCACCTAGTTTACTGTAATAGTTTCGTGACTGGTTTACCTGATTCCTGGCTCTCCTATCTCTGATCCATTCACCACACAGCTTTTTAAGTTAAAAAGTCAGACATGTCACTCTTCTGCTTAAAAACCTTCAATGGCTCCCCATTGCCTACAGAATAAAATATAAATTCCTTAACCTGGTATATAAGGCCCTCTACAATCCAACTCATCTATATTTCCAGCCTGATTCCATATTATTTTCCTTCATCAATTCTATATTCAAGCCAAACTGGACTACTAGCTGCTCCCTAAAGTCAGTACTCTATTCCTGCCCCCATGAATTTGCATAGGCCATTCTAGGACTGATATGCACTCTCTCCTCAGTCTCATTTTTTGCATTCCTTATATCTCCTTAAGACTTAACTGACAAATATCTCCTCCATGAAGCTTTCCCTGATCCCTCACATTTACTGTGCTCTAGAAACACTTAGGTGGTGCAGTATATATAGTTCTAGGCCTGGAATTAGGAAGACTTGGGTTCAAATCAGACCTTAGACACTTACTGTCTGTGTGACCCTGGGCAAATCACTTAATGTCTGTGTCCCTCAGTTTTCTCAATTTTAGAATGGAGGGTATAATAGCACCTACCTCCTAAGGTTGTTGTGAGGATCAAGTGAGATATTTGTAAAGTACTGTATGGTGGTAGCCAGAGCCTAGAAACATGACCTAGGACTCCACAGAGAAGGTAAGCTGCCTTGAGTAAAGGCAAAAAGCAAAAGAAGCTCTAACTATCCCATGAGAAAACTTGCACATGACCATGGGCCATCCCTGGCACTATGCCTTCTTTGTTGTTTCCATATAATACCTGGCCTAACCTAAGGCTGGAATGGGGCTCCACCATTCTGTCCTCCTGCCACCAAGGACTACTTCTCATGAGTAAACTCCCCCAATTAACCCAATTAACTCTAATAAAACCTATTAATAACCAAGTTAGTACCTCTTTCTTTGGTATCTCAGTACTCTCTTGGAGGGTCTGTGTCCCTACAATTGACATATCAGGGCAGAACAGATCAGCCTCCTTCCAACTGGCATAGCTGGCAGGATAGTTTGCCCCTCTACAAATCTTGTATCCTTACAAGTACTTGTCAATAGTTCTTGGAACAGAGTAGGCACTTAATACATGCTTGCTTGCTTCCTTCCTCTCTCCTCTCTCAATTTTCTTAGTATTATATTTATTTGTGTACATTCTGTGTATCTCCATCCTCTTGGTAGAATGTAAGCTCCTTTAGGGCAGGGACAGTTTTGTTTTTGTCTTTGCATCCCCAGAACTCATCACAATGCCTTATACATAGTAAACACTTAAATGTTTGTTAAATGAACGAATTGTGTATTATATTACCTCAAGAAGAGAAACTTTGAACAGGGAAGCTATCAGTGGGAATGTACAATGATTGACCTAAGAGAAAGATAATTTACCTTTTTTGGTGTTATTAACTAAAGTGCCATATTCATTCATTCATTCATTTCATTCATCTAGACTCAAATGTTAGCTCCTTCTTGAGGTCTTCCTTGATCTGATCAGCTAAGTTATTTTTTTCTCATTTAGTCTCATAGCAGTTTGTACTATGTTCATGTACATATATAAATTCTAATTTGTAGTCTACCTTATATATATTCTAATTTGTATCCCACTTAACCCCGTACATATTCTATCACCTCCCACAAGATCATAAATTCTTTGAATAAAGGAGTCCTTTTTATTTATCTTTGTTTCTCTCCTGTATCTGCCTCATACAATGCGTTGTACATAGTTGGCACTTAAAAGTTTCTCAAATAAGTGATTGGATCTACCTTACCCTAAAATCTTATGATTCCACAAATATTTGTTACATTTCAAATGCATGCATATTAAAGTGCTAGGCACATGAGTGGAGGAGTGAGTAGATGAAGCAGTAAATATCATTTCTCTTCTTCTACCTGGTCAATAAAAGAGAAATAACATAATCAGCCCACTGTGGGTCAACACGTTCTGGAAAAGAAGTGAAAAGGACCTTTTCTTTGAAACCGAAATACAGAGGAAAATCAAGCATGATTTGTAATTGTGGTAATAAGTGATTATTATTTGAAGCCTAAATTTAAGCATAGACCTATACTTACTGAATAGATCAACTACCAGCCTTGAGGCAAATACCAAGTACTGTAATATAATATGCTACCTTTTCTAAGAAATGCCAACATTAAAGAATGGGTAAAAATTTGAATAGGATTCATTTTCCAATTTTTAGAAGCTAACAATCAACCCAGTAGACTTGAGTTGTCAATTTAGATATAATTTTTAAATGAGAGTACAGACAAAAGATTGCGACAAATGAGAGCAGGAGGAATCCTTTTCTTTGAATAAGAAATCATCCCACAAATTTAATTCCAGAGAGTAGAGAGGGCAATGACTGCTACTTACCAGGAAGCAGAACAAAGTTTTGTTAATTTCCACCTATGCCCTTTTATTTTAATTCCTGAAGTAAAACTTGCATGGACCATGATTGGTTTCAAGGAAGTAGAAACAAATTCAAAGGAATTTTCTCATTCTCATTTGAAAAATGAACTGAATTCAGAGAGTGACAGCTTGAGGCAAAAAGTAAGGAATTGTAGCCAGCTAACAGAGTGAAATTGACTGGATTCTATTCTATGTCAGGAGAGGGAGAGAGAGAGAGCAAGAGAGCGAGCGAGAGAGCAGAGCATGTGAAAAAGAGCAATTTATGGGGGCTATGAGGTGAAAGAGCTGAATAGACCTTTCTTCCCAAAGAGAAAAACCTTATTAACTAAAGACCAGAAGGTGGCAGCAGAGAGCATCTCAGGACAAAAGCCTAGCAGAAAGTTGCAGAGAACAGCGGAGATATCCAGTCTAGAGTAATCCAATGTAGACATCCACAGACAGAATCAGTAGAAAGTGCAGCTCACAACCCAGTGACATCACTAGAGTTTATCAATAGCACTGTGGAGAAATAAGCAACAGTGATGGAGGAAGAGAAGGGTTCCACTGCGAATGCTGTCTTAGGAGCTTAAGTTGCTACCTGTATTTTCTGACCATGCATATTACTTATATATATCCCTCTACAATTGGTAATAACTTATGAAAGAATATAATCTTATATCTATGGGGCTTAGTGGAGTGGTAGGGAACGGAATCTTTCTGGTCATTTATTTTGTTATGTTACTTAATTAAATATTTTTGCTTTGAATTGGAGATCCCTTGTTAGTCCATTAAAAGAAACACATTGGGGCAAGTAGGTGGAGCAGTGGATAGAATATCAGCCCTGGAGTCAGGAGGATCTGAGTTCCAATCTGACTTCACATAACTTATTAGCTGTATGACCCTGGAAAAGTCACTTAACCCCAATTGAAAAAAAACCACATTGATGGGGGCTTGTTGGCATTCATTTTGGGTAGATTTAAGCCAGAATCAGGCCTTCAAAGCCTGGAAGAAGCTAGGGGCACTACAAACACATAGTAACCTTGAATGAGCTACCCTAATCTTGACAATTGACTAACAAAAATGATAGTTTGATTTCTACAAAGTTTTCATGTTGGAAAACTATTATATAGAAAAAATGGATATTCAATTATGTCAGAACAATAGTTCTTAATTTTTAAATGTTTAAGAGTAAACACCTCTATACTTTGTAGGGTTTCCTTCCAAATAAATGGGGGTGGGATAGAAGGAGGTCCATGACATTTAAAATTTTCTTCTTATTTCTGCATTATGTGACTCAAGTAGAATAAAAATTTTCCATCCAAAAGAAGAAAGCTTTTGAGGTTAAAGATACCAATGGAATGACCTTAAAAGACTGGAGGCTGCAAGGGATAGAATAGAAACAAGGGAGAGTTTCTTTCACAGATTTTTTTTATTGTTTGCTTTACCCTTATCCCAGCTACAGCTTCAACAGTGTGACTGGTCATAGTCACACTGCTGGCTATGTACCTATTAAGACACAACACCACATGACCCAAACACCTGTACATTGCAAGATCTCGAAAACAATCGCATTTGTGAAATTAACAACATACTGCCATTTTACAAATGGCATATGACAAATACAAAAATGTACCAAGATGTGCCAAGGAGGTGCTTACTGGAAGAAAATCTGAAGTCAGTCCATATGTTGCCTTTTGGTCTAATGCCATTTATGACTTCGTCATACTTTGGAATTCTGTTAAAGGAAGAAGAAAATGAGTAATACAATGATGTTAAGAGAAGCTGCTAGAATTCCTTGGAAGGTAACACACATACAAAAGGAGCCCAGAACCTTTGATGGGAAAAAGAAAATGAAACAAAAATACTTCGGTAAAGAATCTTCATAGAATTATAGATTCAGAGCTAGAAGGAAACTTCAAGGTCATGGAATCCATGGAATCCCAATCATTCTACAGGTTGCTGTTAACCAACACAATAAAGTTATGGGATTTAAACAGCAGTTTGAAGATAATAGCATAATAGCTAGCATTTATATAGTGCTTTACTCTATAAATTCTCATTTTTTTCCTCACAACACCTCCAAGAGGGGTGCTATTATTATCAATCCCATTTTACAGATGAGGAAAGTGAGACAGGCAGAAGTTAAGAGACTTACCAAGGGTCAAGCAACTAGTAAGTGTCTGAAATTGGGTTTGAATTTAGGTCTTTCTAACTCCAGGTCCATTGTTCTATCCATTGTATCACCTACTTAGCTGCTTCAGAAGAAATTTTTCACTGTGTTCAATGGGAATTTTCCTTACATCGATTATATAAGCAGGTCCTTAGGGTTCCCAGCTGAAGTATAAATAAAGTGAATACCTTTTCTTTCTCCAGAACTACTTTATACTCGTGGTATTCAGCATAATGACTAACAGGTGGTCAGCTCTTCTCTCTATGAATGACCACTTTTAAAAAATTCCTAAGAAAGCTGAACAGTCTTTAAATCTCCTCAAGTGGCTTAAAAAGCTCAGACTTTCACAATGTGGCAAGAAGGACTTTGTAAACCATATTGCCTGCAGTAGCCAAGCACTTTAGAAAAGGTCCATGTAGGATCCCAGATTTGAAGCTGAAGTCAATGGCCTTTGCAAATGTTGTTTTGAAAAGGGGGGAGCCCTCTGTCTTTGCCGTTACAGAAGATTGCTTTGGCACAGGGAAACAGACTGTATGGGGTAGAATCAGAATTGTAGAATGGTAGAGCTAGAAGGAAACCTCCAAGATCACCTTGTTCAACCATCTCACTTTATAGATGAGCGTAATGAGGCACAGAGACTTGCCAGTTAGTTATAACATGGAGTTTACAAGTCCACTTCTCCTAACTTGCCACAGGCCAGGACTTGTTCCACACACCAACACGATGAGGCTGAAACCAGCTGAGTTTTATATAATTCAACACCCTATTTGGAGCTATTATATTAGAGACACTAGCGTTGCTTCTAAAACACATTCCCCATAGCAGCATAACCCTCTCCCCTCAAAGTCTGGCTAAGATTAGCATATGTGTTGGACTGCGTTGACACCTGTCCCAGTTTAGCTGGGACAAACACAGTTTTTAGCTGCATCACCCCAGCACATTCTGTTGGGTGCCCTACTTTCTTCCTAGTAAAGGTTTGGGAAAAATTTCCCAGCCTGGCCACTTCTTGCCTCTTCTTTCTTAAAATGCCTCCCCAGTTTATGATTTATACACCATCCCTTGGAAAGGGAATAGATGTGGAGTGGGGAAGGACAGACAAGGGTAATGAGACCACTATTAGTTCAACCTCTACTAACTGAAGGTTATAAATAGTGAAAAGATCATTGAGCTGGGAGCCATGGGACTTTAGACTCCTGTCTGAGCTACGCCTAGATTTCTTTTTGTTGTTGTTCTTACGTTTTAAATTCTGAACTGTCTCTACATTCTTAGTCTAGGCAAATCATCTATCTTCTTAAGGCCTCAGTTTCTCCAGTTGCCCCAGGAGGGTATTAGAATAAAATATGGAATCCTTTTGAAAAAAATACTGTTTAATATCCCTCTCTTCTTTGAGGGAGACCATGAATGTGGAATAGTGTATATGATATCTGATCTTTTTTAATGTATTGATCAGTTTTGTTCAATTTTTTTCTCTTTTTCCTCTTTATCTTTTTTTATCTTTTTATAAGGAATGGCTTTCTAGGAAGAGGAAAAGGGGAGAGATGGGGAAGGTCTGAATGATGAAAAACAAAAGGTATCAATAAAAATCTGTTAAAGGAAAAAAAATCAGTTGAGCTGCAAACCAGATAATTTGGGCTCTAGTCTGAACTAGTCATTATGAGACTCTAGGCAAACTGTTTATTTCTTGAGTGCCTCTGGGTCTCCAATTACCCTAGGAAAATACAAAAATAAAATGTGAACATCCATTTTTAAAAACGCTGTAACCATCCTCTCTTCTTTGCAGTGGTAGGGGACCATGGGTGTAGAATATTGCATATACTGTCAGACACTGTTATGTATTCATTGGTTTTGCCAAACTGCTCTCTTTCTTTTTCTTTTTTTAATCTTTGTTACAAGGGGCAACTTGTTGAATAGAAGAGGGGGGAGGCTTATATTCAGATAAGAAGGTAATGTAAAAACAAAAGATAAAATTAAGTTTAAAAAGTAAAGTTTTTTTAAAATTTAAGGCATCATCATAAATTTAGCATTATCACCAAGAAAATATTATCATTATCAGTAGGGAAATAGGACATTACTGTTTTCCACTACCCAGGAATTTTTTAAAGCTATTTCTTTCCTTAAAAAACAAAAACAAAAAACTATTCCTATAGACCATTTGCAGTCATGTCCTACTCTTCATGACCTGACGAATTGTCCATGGAGTTTTCTTGGCAAAGATACTGGAGTGGTTTGCATTTCCTTCTCTAGTATGTCCCCATTTTACTGAGAAACTAGACAAAGGTTAAGTGACTTGTATGGAGTCATACAGCTAGTAAGTATCTGGGGCCACATTTGAACTCAGATCTTTTTGGCTCCAGGCCTGGTGAACTATCCATTGAACCACCTAGCTGTCCCATAAATTAATAAGGATGCATACTAATACAGCATTTATTATGCTGTAATGATTCAATTAAAATACTCATGCTGAAAAGAAGTAAACAACTCAAGTAAACAATTCATGAAGGATTATTTTCCTTTGAACTTTATACACTAGACTTAAAGAATATTTTACTTTACTGAACTGAACCATTGTAGTACAAATCTCTAACTTCTTTCTGAACAATCAGTTTTTCAGTCCATTCTCATACGTTTCCAACTCCTATTTTTTTGCTCCACCTCTCACAAAGTGTGATAGCCTAGAATGTCTGATCTTGCCTCGAGTCTTTTAACCAAGATTCAAGGGCAACTGGCAGGCAGGCAGGCGGAAAGGAAAGAAGGAAGGAAGGTAGGAAAGAAGGGAAGGAGGAAGGAAGGTGAGAAGGAAAAAGGAAGAAGACGAAAGGGAGGGAGGAAGGGAGGACAGAAGGAATGAAGGAAGGAAAGAAAGAAGGAAAAGGAGGCAAAAGAAGGAGGAAAGGGAGGTGGGAAGGAAAGAAGGAAGGAAGAAGAAGGAAGGAAAGAAGAGGGGGAGGGAGGGAGGGAAGAAAGGAAGGAGGGAGACAGAGAGAGAAGGAAGGAAGGAAATAAGCATTTAGTAAGCATGTACTATTTGTGCTTAAATGTGCACTGTTCTCATTTTTTGTCCTCACAGCAGCCCTGGAAGTTAAATACTATTATTATCATCATTTTATAATTGAGGAAATTGAAAAAGACAAAGGTTAAGTGACTGGCCCAGATTCACAAGGGTAGTAAGTGCCTGAGGATGGATTTGAACTCAGGTCTATGACCTTAATTGTACAGATTAGGAATCTGAGGACCAGAGAACCTGCGCAACTTGTCAAAAGTCACACAGTTGGTTAGTGATAGGATATAACATGTAGATATTCTGACTCTTGGTCCAGTGCATTAGGACTTAATCTACACAAGTCATTACTGATACCTAGGATTGCTTAATGGTCACCAGGACCACAGTTAAACTGGTTTGGATAGAAAGTCTTATATTCCTTGTTTCCATATGGAGATGCTAGTAGTCCAGGCTATAGAAGAGAGATGGGAGACAAAAAGAAGAAAGCAAGCCTTGGCAGACAAACGCTTCACCTGTCTAACCCCTTTTTACCATCTGCAAAGTAGTCATTGATCCTTCCCTTCCCTACTTGACATTCCGACTCCCCAAGACTTGTTACAGATGAATGAGTTGGTCAGAAATGTAGAATGCATTGGGTTCCTTGGGGTATTGCACTGTATTTTGAGTACAAAGTGATAAGATAACCTTTTGGGGCTGATAGAGCAGCACCAAATGCCTAGTCTTTTCTATTCCTTTCCATGATCTGGTATATCAGTCTGACAAATTATCATGGGCCCACAAGAAATTAAAAGAAGGGAGGACCTAAAATAAATCTGTGGGCAAGTAGGATTGATAATTATAAGAACAGCTAATATATAGTAGGGCAGCTAGGTGGCACAATGGATAGAGTGCTAGGCCTGAAGTTAGGAAGACCTGAATTCAAATCCGGCCTTGAACACTTACTAGCTAAGTGACCCTGGGCAAGTCACTTTACCCTATTTGCCTCAGTTTCCTCATCCATAAAATGAGCTGGAGAAGGAAATGGCAAACCACTCCAAGTATCTTTGCCAAGAAAGCCCCAAATGGGGTCATGAAGAGGCAGGCATGACTGAAAATGACTGAACAACAAAGTATATAGTGCTTTAAAATTTCTAAAGTGCTTTCCAAATATTATCTCATTTTAACCTCACAACAACTCCCAGAGGTAGGTGCTAGCATTATTTCCATTTTGCAGATGACAAAGCTAAGGCAGGCAGAGCTTAAGTGACTTGTACAGGGTTACAACAATATAAGTGTAAGAGGCTGATTTTAAACTCAGGTCTTTCTTACTCTAGGTGCACTACTATATCCTCTCTACCACCTAGCTGCAACAATAAAGCTGCCTTTATTTTTTTACAAAGATTTAAAAAATGCAAACCATAGCACTCCACTATGCATTTTGTGGACATCACTGTAAATTTGCTAAGTATGGAAAAGGCAGAAAAAAATCATCTTGTTATCATGTTGTTTTTTAGTTGTTTTAATTATAATCAAAGGGGGCAGGGCATGAATCTATAGTTCAGTGTTTGAAATCATTCATGCATCCAATGTGGGCTAGCTTCTAGAGAACCATTTGGAAAAACTCACCATCCACTCCAATTTTGCCATCACCATCAGAATCTCCAGCTGTGAGAAAACTCTTGGTCTCATCAGGTGTCAGAGTTCGGGCATCGGGGGCAAAGTTTTGCAGGAATTTCCTGGGTTGATAAGTGGTCATGTTATCCCATTTATTTTTTTTTCAAGGGTCACATGTAACTTTTAAAAGAACACACTTAGGTTTGGTCTTCATGGGCACACAAATGTGGTCCTCTATCCAATCTGGCTTTTATTTGACCATTTTGGCATGGCCTAACATTATTCCTTGGCAGACCATGCCAAAGCCTAAATACTGAAATAACAGCCACCATTTTCCAATAATATATAAATATAAGGTTGCAACCTACAGAGCAAAACAAAACAAACAAAAAACTTTAAGGAAAAAAAAACTTAAAAGGTGGTAATGTGTTGACCAAATGAAAGAGATTCTATTCCGGGGGCACCAGATTGTATCCTTCTCAGGAATACCATTTAGCGGTCCTTAGCTTAGGATAAGATCATACCTATAGAGCTGAAAGAGACCTTAAAACAGGTGGTCTTAAGCTTTTTTGTGTCCTGAACCTCTTGGGCAGTCTGGAACTCTATGGAGCTCTTCTCAGAAAAAAATGTTTTTAAATCAATAAAACAAAATGCAAAAGCATTACAAAGGAAACCAAACATATTGAAACATATGTATCAAAATACTTTTTAAAAACCAAGCTTACAAAGCTTGTATTAAAAACCCCTGCCTTAGAGCCATCTAGTCCTACACTCTCGTTTTATAGATGAGGGTTCAAAGGGTTAAATGACTTGCCCACAGTGACACAGCTAATAAATATCAAAGTCAGGATTTGAACCCAGATCATCTGACTCCAAGATTACTCTTCCCTACTGTATTATATGGTTTAGCATTTTACTCATATTTTTCACACTAATACAAGTAGCAAAGGCACCCTTACTGAAGCTCATCTTCTTCTACGTAGCCACTTTTGTCCCGGTCGAGGATACTGAAAACTTTCTTGATCTGGTCAGGAGTCTTGCGAGATAAGCCAACCTTGGAGAAGAAGGTCTTGTAGTCAAAGCTGCCAGCAGCTGAAAGAAGCAGAGATCCTTTGATTTCACCTTTTAAAAAAAAATTAGTCTAAAATTCAAGGTTGCTAAGGTCAAAGATTGTGATCTGTTCTACCATTTTACAGATTCAGTTGTTCTGCAACTAAATTTTACAGACAATGAAACTTAGGAAGGCAGAGGTTAAGTGACTTGCCCAGGGTCACACTACTACTAAATGTATGAGATTTTTACGTAGGCAAGGTCAGAGTTTTCATATTATTCCTGGCATATATTTATTAAGAGGAAACAAATTAGAATATCAGAGGCTGCCCATTTTATCTGATAGAGAACACTTAATCTCTTAGTACCCCCCAGGAAACTCTCTAAGACTCTAAATTATAGAGCAGGTGTTAATCTGCATTTTCTTCACTGGGAGTTCCCTCTATAAATAAAATGACATATCTGTTATATTTAAAAAAACAGAATATCACATTATAGGCAGCTAAAAAGATCTATGCATGGAAACAATGAGTTCCAGCCAAGTCTTTGATTGGCATTCCTAACTATAAGGGGCATTCATGATATTTGTCATCCAAATATAGCTAGATGGTACCAAAAAGAAGAGTTTTACTGCATTTAAATTCAGTGCTAGTGATTGGACAGCCCCAGGTACCAAGGCAACAACTTGAGTGTTTCTCTTTGCTTACCAGCAGGACTGCATCTGCTATGGTTCTCAAGTAGGTCTTCCCAAATGAGCTCAGTGAGTAGGGCACACACTTCGCATTCAAAGCATAGCAGGATTTATAAGAATATTCTTTGCTCTCTGAGAGTCAATGAGTTATAGTAGAAAGTACATTGGAATGGGTTGGTCCTTAAAGCCAGGATAAAAAGATCTAGTTCTCCTGTCATTGACACACCATTACCCTGGTCACTTAACCTGTATTTCATTACCTCAGAGCTGGAAGGAACCTTAGAGATTGCTTAGCCCAATTTTCTCATGTTACAAGGGTGGAAACCAAAGCCTAGAGAATTCTAATTTAATTCAACCCAATCCAACCCAACTCAATGAGATATTATTTGTAAAGCACTTAGCACTGGTGCCTGGCAATGCTTAAGAAGTGCTTATTCTTTTCTTTTCCCAATCCAATTCAATGAAAACAAGTATTTATTAAGTGCCCCCTAGTTACAAAACACTATGCTAGGCACTGGGGATACAGTCAAAAACAAAAACAAAAAAGGCCGTGATCTTGTGCAGCTTACCTTCTACCCAGTGGTTAAACAATTAAGTAAATACAAAGTATATACAAGGTCATTTCAGAAGGGAAGGAGTTCTCACACCGGGGGGAATAAAAAAAAAAAAAGCTTTATGTAAGAGGTGGTACCTAAGCTGTGCTTTGAAGGAAGCCAGAAATCCTCAAATGCAGAAGTGAGGACTGCATGGAGGGCAGCTTGGACAAAGGCTTGGAGGTAAGAGATAGAATGTTGTGCTTGAGCAGCAGCTACCAAGCCAGTTTGATTGGAATGGAGAGTGGGAGTCATGATGTCAAATAAGACAGATTAAGTGACATGCCCCAGGACGCACAACAAATTAGTGTCACAACTGGGGCTAGAACCCAAGAATCCTGGTGTAGAATCTAGACAGGAATGGGGAACCTGTGACCTCGAGGCTATACGTGGCCTGCTAGGTCCTTAAGTGCAGCCCTTTAAATCCAAACTTCACAGAACATAAATGGATTCAGTCAAAGGGCTGCACTTAAGGACCTAGAGGGCCAGCCGCAGGTTCCCCACCCTGGTCTAGGAGTTCTTTCCAATACTGTGCCTCGCTTTTCTTATCTCTAAAATGAGGGGTTGGGCTAGATGGTCTCTCAGGCCCCTTCCAGTCTGACTTCCTCCAATGCTATGACAATTTTAAAAGGAAAAAGATGCTGACGGCTCAGGAACAGATCGGGCTCCTCACCTTTGCAGCTGGACAGAGCTGCTTCGATGTCCTTAGGGGAGAGGATATCTGTCATGCTCATCTTGATGCTGTAAAGTAATAATTGAGAGTGAGTTACTTTGCCCTTGAAATTGTGTTCTGTCTTTCTTTTGTAGAGGTTCTAACCTTGGCTGGGAACATTTCAAACTATTGATGCCCAAAGGGGTTAAAAGGACCCATTAGCTGCCTGGGATCTAGGCAGTGAATAAGGAATTTCTTGCATTTTCCTCACCTGTCACTAAGAGATATTGAAGAATAAGCACTCAGAGTCCAGATAATATATTTTCAGGCAATAATCCTGTCCATCAGCCAGATAGGCCTTAAAGCGACACCCCTGAAAAGTCTATGTTAAAAGTATCTTCCAATGACTAAATAGGAATGGCATTTAATTGAGGAAAGCGACTATTTAGAATGAAATCAAACAGGTTTTACCTACCACACTGTACTAGTTGCCTTGATGATGATGGGTGATGATGATGGCTACAGCAGGGGTTCTTAACCTTTTTTGTTTCATAGACCCCTTTGGCAGTCTGGTGGAGCCCATGAGCCCCGTCTCAGAATTATATTTTTTAAATAATTGAAGCAAATGCTAAATTTCAGTTAGAAGTGAGTGAAAAAATGTATTTTTCCCAACCAAGTTCACTAAGTCCCCTTGATATAAGGGGTCCTTGTGCCCCAACTTAAAAACCCTGTTCTATAGCATTCTTAGGCAATGAAAAAATTCCCCAGTATTAAAGAAAAAAATTGTTCACGGTTTGTCATACTTACTTTCCTTGGCTATCCTTTTAATGGATGCAAACACACTCTGCCCCCTGACAAGGGAGCTTTGCTCGGGAATGGGGGAAAGTATTCAAGGGAACCTCTTGTCCTTTTCCTTACTTCCCAAGATGGGATGAGCCAGATCCAGTCCTTGGTTTAGAAAACTGCCAGATCTCAAAGCCAATCTAGTCTTCCTGAGCACCCAGAAAAAAATTGCCCAGTGGAAAGTTTCAAGGATTTCCAAAGTACTCCACGTTTAGGTGGCAAAGAGAAACTCTTCTGCCCGCCCTGAGTTAACAAGCTCAGGCATCAGGACCCACCAACAAGAACCTGATCCAAAAGCCACTCACTTGGAAACAGCTACAGCCTTAATCTCCTACAGCCTCAGAAAACTTCCTAATGCATAAACACATTCCCTATTTTTCCCCTTCCAGTTAGGGTGCTCCCCACCCCCTTCTTTTGCCCCCTCATGGGCTAGTGTGTCCACAGGAGACATGAAAGCCACAGGCTGTGCTGTCCTGAGTAAATGCACACGGAGGTTAGGCGTTCACTTGGGTGGTCCTGACACCTTTCCACCCAAACTCTTAGTGAGCTGGGAGTTAAGCTGCATTTCAACCACTTTCTTTTACTAGTTAGTCCCTGATACCTTAGAGAGGTCACCCAGCAACCGGTGCTTTTAATCCTCTGCCTCTTTGTGCTGTGCTTAATATAAGAGATTATTTCCTTCAATGTTTGGGGTTTATGCAAGCTTGTTTGGCGTTAGGTTCCTTTTTCCAAACCTGCAGAAGAATTTGTTCTACTTACCTTTAGGATGTTCTTGACTCTATAAAGAGGTGTTACTGGGAAGCAGAGAACTTTCCTTGCTGTTCCTTGAGACCTGATCCCTACTTATATACACATTAAGTCGTAGACCATATACAGATTTTTGGTCTGGGTATCAGGGATGCAGTCGGTCAGTGTCAGATGAACTTTCCTAACTAATCATCTCACCCTATTTTTATCTCAAGAGAATACATATGATGTTTGCAAATGAAACAAGATGAGTAGCTACAACTATGAAAAGGGTTTCACCAGATTGAATTTCTTATGATTTAAGCAGAAAGTTTTGACTTCTCCATAGGCTCAGGGCCAAGAAGAAAGACAAGTCTGTTTTGGGCTAGATCCCAGGGCTAGAAAATCAGCTGGACCAAACTAGTCTCTCAATGAGAGAGACTTGATAAATTTTTTAGTGTGATAGCTTGTTATTACCCTGAGTAGAAGGTGTACAGGGAAGAAAAAATCTTGGCCTGCAATGTTCAACTCATAATTTACTTGGAGGAAATGAATAGAGAGAATCTGAACTCTTTTGGTTGAAAAGAAGAAGAGGAAACAGCTTAGATTGTCCTCTTCTTCCTTATTCTCTCTTCATGCCAATTTAGAGAACATTTGACTTAACAGTTTGATGTTGCGGAAAGAGCTAGATTTAAAGTCCGAGGACCTGAGTTTGAATTCTACCCCTGCCACTTACCATGTAGCCACTTAACATCTCAGGGTTTCAGATTCTTCATCTGTAAAATAAGGGAGTATGAGGCTTGGAGTTGGGAGAGTCTGAATGCAAATTCGGCCTCACTTACTAGCTGTGTGACTCTGGGTAAGTCACTTGACTCTGTTTGACTCAGTTTCCTCATCTGCAAAATGAGCCGGAGAAGGAAATGGCAAACCATTCCAATATCTTTGCCAAGAAAACCCCAAATGGGGTTGCAAAGAGTTGAATACCACTGAAAATGACTGAACAGCAGCAAAAAGAAAGGAGGATAGGACCACATGGTTTCTGAAGTCCCTTCTAGCCGCAGATCTCTGACCCGATGACCATCTCCTTTCCTGGCGCCCAAACTCTAAGATGGAAGGGGGTGAGAGATCCCGAAGTGAAACCTTTGTCTTAAAGTATGAAGGGGCTCTTCCGACCAGTTTCCCATTAATTTTCAATGCTATGGGTTTACATAAGCACTTCAAGTGCTTACCAATTTTGTTTCCCCAGACATCCTTCCTCTACCAGTCACCCCAGGAAGGCAGTCAGGATTATTAACATCTCAGTCAGTCAATAAACATTTATTAAATACTGACTATGTACTGGGGGCAGCTAAGTGAGCACAGTGGATAAAGCGTCAGCCCTAGAGTCAGGAAGACCTGAATTCAAATCTAGCCTCAGACACTTACTAGCTGTGTGAGCAAGGTCACACAAAGTGCAAGTCACTTAACCCTGGTTGCCTCAGTTTCCTCATCCTTAAAATGAGCTGGAAAAGGAAATGGCAAAGTATCTTTGCCAAGAAAACCCCAAATGGAGTCACAAAGAGTCAGATATCACTGAAAACAACTAAACAATAATAATAATGATGTGTCATACACTGTGCTAAACTCTAGGGATACAAAGAAAGGCAAAAGACAGTCCCTGCTCTTAAGGATCTCACAATCTAATGGGAGACAGCATGTAAAGCTTGTACAAACAAGTTACATACAGGATAAATTGGAAATTGTCAGCGATGGAAGGCACTAGGTTAAGGAGCACTGGGAAAGGTTTCCTCTAGAAGGTAGGATTGTAGCTGAACTTGAAGTAAGTCATTAGGTAGAGATGAGTAGAGAGAGAATTCCCACCGTGGGGGACGGCCAGTGAAAATGCCTGGAGAGTGGAGTGGGGAGTTGAGGAACAATAACGAAGTCAGGGCCACTGGATTGCAGAGTAGATAGAGGGAGTATAAGGTATAAGAAGAATGGAAAGGGAAAGGGAGCAGATTAGGAAGGGTTCTGAACATCAGAGGATTTTGTATTTGATCCTGGAACTGAGAGTGAGCCATTAGAGTTTATTGAATGTAGACGGGGCATGAGGTAAGGAGGAAGGGTGTGTGTGGCACGATCAGACCCGTGCTTTAGGAAGATCACTTTGACAGTTGAATGGAGGATGGACTGGAATGGGGAGAGGCTCGTGGTAGAGACACCAGCCAGCAGACTATTGCAGTTGCCCAGGGATGAGGTGATGAGGGCCCTCACCAGGATAACAGCAGTGTCAGAGAAGAGGAAGGGGTGTATGCAAGAGATATGACAAAAGTAAAATCAACAGGCCTTGGCAACAAGATTGAATATGAGGAGTGAGAGAAAGTGAGGAGACAAGGATGATACCTAGGTTGCAAGCCTGGATGTCTGGGAGGATGCTGGTACCCTCCACAGTAATAGGAAAATTAGGAAGAAGGAGAATTAGGGAAAGAATAATGAGTTCAGTTTTAGACACGATGAGTTTAAGATGTCTCTGGGGCATTCAATTGGAGATGTCCAATAGGCAGTTGGAGATGCAAGTCTGGAGGTTAGTAGGGAGGTTTGTGCCGGATAGATAGATTTGAGAATCCTCAGCATAGAGATATTTGATTCCATAGGAACTTAAGAGATCACTAAGAGAAGAAGGCCTAGAATAGAGCCCTGTACTATACCCACAGTTAGTGAACATGGCATAGATAAAGATCCAGTAAATGATCTGAGAAAGAGCGGTCAGATAGGTAGGAGGAGAACCAGGAGAGGGTAGTGTCACAAAGACCTAGGGAGAAGAGAGTATCAAGGAGAAGAGAGTAATCGACAGTGTCAAAGGTTACAGAGAGGTCAAGAAGGATGAGGAATGAGGACAGATAAGAAAAAACGAGGGAAAAAACTGGATTTGGCAATTAAGAGATCATTAGTTATTTTGAAGACAGATTTTGTTGAGTAATGAAGTTGGAGCCAGAGTGGAGAGAGTAAGAGGAGAAAAGCGGAGGTGCCTATTGTAATGGTCTTCTCAAGCTTAGCTGCAAAAGGCAGAAGAGATATGGGACAAAAGTTAGTGGAGATGGATGGATCAAGTAAGGGTTTTTTGAAGATGGGGGAGATGAGTGTATTTGTAGGCAGTAGGGAAACAGCCAGTAAACACTGAGAGATTGAGGATCATTAGGGGGCAAATGGAAGAAATAGGAAAGCTAAGCCCAGGTGCCTGAATTCCGGTGTGCAATCAGATCATCAAAACATGGAACTGTGCATATCTCAATTAAATTAAACACTTTTGAATAAATTAAACACTTACGTAGCACCTGGGCCACTAGAAAACTACCCTAAGTTTGAGATACCCACTCAAAACCTAGGGTTTTTATTGATGAGTTTATTTTTACCAGCCAACACATAGTTCAATGCAAAAGGCATTTAATTTTAACCCTTGTCTCAAAGCCCATTTGCATGAGACTGTCCTCAGCTGATTACTCAGTGCTCCACACCTGCAACAGGGGCAGAGTTGGTG